ACTAAAATACTAGGACAAAGGCATTTTCAATCCTTACAGTTGTGACTAATAGGTACTGCCTTTTCTCTTTCTTTTCCTTTGGAGACTACTGAATGCTTCTGAAACTTTTTTTTCTTTTACAATTTAATATAGCCTTAGAAAGTAATTACATGTTGGTGTGCTAAACAGACCAAATAAATTGGTCCTGTAAATGAAGTCTTAACAAAATAACTTTTGAATATAACCTTAAGTTTGTCATGACTGATAACAGTAATCATCGTTATTTAAAGACTCAGTCCTTATTAGATCTTCATTAAAGAACTGGATATAAACTTAAATTTATTTCTCATTAACAATCTCAGAAGGCAAAATTATTTGTGTACCTAATAATGATAATACATTGATACAGTTATAGTCTAAGTCTATATGTATCATTGTACACTTCATAGTCTTGTCAATGGCTGCATAGTAAGTGCTATGCCAAAGGTATATACAATCTTGAATTCAGAGTTGTTTTTCTCCTAGACTGGTTGCTTGAAAGCCCAGTCTGTCCTGCTATTTAACTCAAAGCTTGGGGGTGAATAGGTGGATTCATACATTTTCCAAAGGTACTTGTTCGAAAGTGGAATTTGAACATGGCTCGCTAGTTTCTTGTTTTAAGCCACTAACCATTTCACCACCTGGACATTGTTTATAAGAATATCCAAAAGAGTATACATTAATTTAGTATCTAATCTGTTCTATGAAACATTTAAATATTTTTTAATACTTGTTTTTGTTAATATTTCTGCTTGTAATAAATGTTAATTACCATGATCTTACTGTCATTATAATTTAAAATTTCACAAAAGTACTTCAGATTTTAGTCCCAATGCAACATTTGGTTTGGATGATCAGTGGTTAGAGATTCCTTAGAAGTCCCTGTTTTGTTACTGAAAGGAGAATGTCCAGAATAAGGTTTTGGCAAAATTTAGCTGTAGAATTTTAAAAGCTTTCTTGTTCTTGTCAAATAACTTTTACCAGTTATGGATAAAGATTGCAAATAGTAAGAGAGATTATGTTTGAGTATTTTAGTCTGTTGCTGGGTAAGTAGATTGTATTATTTGATAGATGCAAAAGATCTCTGTAATAATGAATAATGTTCATATTCTGCTTTATATTATTGCATTTTCTCTGGTTTTTGAATAGCCCATCTCTTGTAAAAATGCATATTTTTATTAAGTCCATCATGGATAACTTAAGAAAAAAAAGCCATAGAGAAGATTAACTGTGAACTCCACTTAACTCCACTTATTACTTGTTGCCATTCATAAGAATAACTTGAATTATTACAATTGAGGAAAACCTGTGAATGTACAAATGAACTTCAAATTGTGTTAAAATGTGTTTGATAGACATATTTCTTTCAATTTTCAATTTTACAGATTGCATTCTGCTATAGAAATAATGTCTTTAACAAAAATTATCTATAAAAGAAGCATAAATAGTAGTAAGAAACAAGTTTACCAATTACTGAATATTTTGATTTCTTTTTTTTTTAATTTCTCTTTTCTTTTTCTTTTTCTTTTTTTAGGGATTTTGTGAAACATTCCCTTAGGACTGAACATTATGGGTTTTATAAAAAATATAAATTAATTTTATCCTATAGATAAAAATTTACCTTCTAAAAATCCAAACATTTTTTTCTAATAAGATGATTTGCTAGTCTTAACCAAACATAATTTGTTTCATTTTTGTAGGGTTTATTCCCCCTACTCTTTTTTTGTTTGTTTCTTTAAAGGATTATTCAAAATAAACATGGGTTTATTAGATAGACATATTTTTGTGACAGTTTCTTTCCTGCCTTGCAATATTTTCCCTTTTTATGTTGTCTGATGTCATAGTTTTTCATATTGTTATAAATACATTTGTTTAAAAGTCATATAAACTTCAGAAATTAATTTATTACTGTTAATTATTGGCAGTGCTGAATAAAAAATGCTTATTAACAACCTATATGAGATGCTACCTAAAAGTTCAGGGAATGCAAACAAATGAAGAAAGGATTTCAACACCTCTTCAAAGTGCTACTTCAGTAGAAACTAAATGTTAGAGTATCACTCACAATGGATATCATCAAAATCCATACTACAGTTTGAATGTATTGTTCAAATTCCTCTTTTGGATAGCACATTATAGTTTTTATAGATGTTTCATACATTCTTGTGTTTGAACTCTTGTTGGTTTAATGTTAGAATAATGTGTTAACTTCTATTGAATTATTTAATTGAAACTCTAATGTTCAACTTTTAAAAAGAAATAAGTAATAATCCTCTGTATCATTTATTAAAAACAGGTTAAACCTTGTATGCACCTGTCTATTTTCTTTTACATAAAGGGACCATGGAATAATTTTTTTAACAATTTTAGACAACAATTTTTTTAGTGAAGAAAGTTTTACAAAACTTATTGCAAATAAAATCATAGTTAATGCCTTAACAATCATATTAGGCCTTTTATAAATAAAATGCATCATATAAAAAGTAGAAATATACTGATATTGAAAAGAATATCACTTTGTTAATAAACTACTAACAACAAAACTGACTACTAGGATTGTTTTTCTTAAGTGTAAATGCATGCTTCAGACACCTTTTTGGAATCTCCTGTAGAGAACACAAGACAAATGACTTTGTACAGGGCCAAGTAACACAAATTACATGCCCCCAGGAACCCCTCTTAGCAACAAAGAGGAAAATGCTGTTGTGGTTTGGACATGTCATACACTACAATACTCTACCCAAGATGGTCCTTCAAGGCACCTTGGAAGGGCGTAGACATAAGGAGAGGCAGTCCAAAAGCTGAATGGACAACATCAAAGAATGGACCAGGATGGACACTGCAACACTGCTTTGTGAGACAGAAAAGGGTTCTTGTTGATGGCGTGCTGGCTGCACCATCATTTCTCATGTCTCCTCTACAATTGGCTCAGTCATTAGAAAAGATGAAGAAATACATGTTATAAAATTTTTGTTATGAATTCTAATTATAATAGGGTGCTGAAAACTTCTCACTTCTCAGTCTGTTTCCCAAAATTAGAGTAAATATTCTATTTTTTTTTTTTTTTTTGCTGTAGAGGGTGATCATTTTCGTTGGGTCAAGAACTTTTCAAAACTTCCTCATACACAAATGATAATTTTATTTTGTTGTTAAAATTATCAAAAGATTTCACTGTCTTTTTACAAGTTGAAGTAATGTTAGATTTAATAAATGAACTTTGTTTTATTAAACATGGGATAATCTTTTTTTTATTAATATGAGATAATCTTTTGCACATTACAAAGATTGGTTCATGTTAAATCTGATTAGGAATAAAAAATGGAAAGAGCAGTTGAGCATTTGCTCTAGTAATTGTTTGAACTGAAATATTTTTTTTATTCTTACAATTGGAGAGATTTATTAGAGCGCACAACACAACACATTTCCTTTATTCTTCTAGATTTGCAAAGATAGTAAAGTTTGTTTTTAAGGATAGGAAATCTGTACAACAGAAAAAAAAACAACCAATACTGCAGGGCAAAAACATTTTATAATTATTATGTCAGTATTACAACTGGTATGGGGTTTTATTACCATTTCTTTTTTTTCTTTTATTTAGATATTTAACCTTTAAATAGTAATGTAAGTAAATAATGTCTGGCCACTCGTATCAGTTAGAGAAGCTAACCAATCCCTATTGCAGACACCTGTTCAGGAACATTTGAGTTTGTTCAACACTCACAGAGCCTGCCTGTGGTTTATACTGCAACTATGCTAAGTGGACCTTAGTTACAGTTTGTGGGAGATAGCACATTATCTTGCATGATCGACAGTCTGAACAAGGCCAATATGCTCAAACCCTTGGTTACAATGACTTGCAACAATGCTAGATCAACCATTGATGACTCCCAAATAGTTCCATCTACCCAATTTCACTCACAAGGCTTGGATCAACCCATGGTTTGTTTTCAGGCACTTTCCAAATGTGCTGCACTCTGACATCACTACTACAGGCTGATGACATAAAGATGTCACCTTCCTGACAAATCGACTATGATTATATTCGAACTAGGGTGTCATCATCAGAAAGCAAACATCCTGATGACTCACCCATGTGCCTATTCATTTAAATAATATCAACATAGAACATAATAGAATTACAAAACATTAGCACTGCCAAATAATTGCCTGGTCAAGTGTCTAGGGATGATGAGTATAAATTTCATGATATCTATTAACATATTTGTGCATTTATATAGTTCAAAAGAGTTTCAGAATGTCATAATATGATCAAAACGTGATTTATACTCACTTCTCATATATTAATATCTTGAAATGAGTTTCATTCCAAACTTTTTTTCTATTTGTTTCCTTTATCATCTAGTTAAGTTTTCTCCAATTATATACATGGAATCTCTAAATTAACACTAACATTTGCTATTAAAATTTCTGGAAAATTTTTTGTGTTTATTTTTGTTATTGTCTGCTCTGTAAACTTCAAAATGTGATTAATTCTGTTTTTTTACCAGTTTTGGAAGAAATAATTACAAGAAAAAAATGATTGTTTCACTAGTTGTATTATTTATACTGTAGTTAATAATTAAATCTACTGAAGACTGTTTCTACATCTATAATTACAGTATTTTGAGCAAGTAGTTACCTTTTTTCAGATTTCTCTTTAAAGCTTGGCACATGTGATCATAAAGAATTCTCAATGTTTAAGAATGAACATTCATGAATAAAGAGAATTTAAATTTGGAAAACCAGTTTTTACACAAAACCCATGCATCACTTCATGGGACACTTAATTTTTTTTCTGATCAGTTCTCTTATCTGTCTTGTCATAAATTTTAAAATCACCTATGTATCATTTTGAATAAATAACCTGTTGTCCTTAAGAAGCATTAGCTTTTTATTCATCTATTCACATTTTGTGTTGTAGTTAACCTAAATAATATTGCATAAGAAATTAACCTAATTTAAACTTTTGTTTTTTTTTTTAGGTTGAAGCTGCCTGCTCTCCAATGCAGCCTGAAGTGCATGATATTGGGATAGACACCTGTAGTGTTGGAGTTATTACAGAACCAGAGTGCCTTGGGCCTTGTGAACCAGGGACCAGTGTTACACTTGAAGGCATAGTGTGGCATGAAACAGAAAATGGTGAGAATTCTACACACTTATGCAAAAACAGTCTTTATTATTCAATTACATTGCAGCATAATTTAAGAGAAAGAAAAAAGAAAATAATTTATAAGAATCCTTGTTTCCAGGAAGACTGAAAAAAAGTAAAAGGTTAGCAAAATTTGAACCACAAAGCCATGAAAATCAACTCTGGTCTCTCTTGATTTGTAGTTCAAATCCTGCCGTTCTCTTTGAAACATCAAAAATATCCCTAAATTCTGTTATTTAAACAAAAGCAAGCATATGGGTAGTGTATACATAATATGCAATAAGTTAAAAATTAGTACAGACATCTGGGGAAAGGGCAAATCTAAGCTCACACATATTTTTATATCATAAACTTTGTAATTTTTAGTAGTTACACCATTCAGATGACAATTTCTGTTTATTAAAAAATAATTTAAAATTATATTTAAGGAATAGTGTGATAATAGCTACAGTACTTTCTAAAATTACCATAAAAGATTGTCATTGCATTAATTATTTTTAATATTATGAATAGATGTATATGTAAATTGTCATTTAAAATTATCCTACATATTGAGATTTAATTTTCATTTACAGTAAGTAGGTTTCATCACAAGCAATAAAGCAGTTTATCTGATCAGTGAGTTTAAAATGATAATCTATAATTTAATCACAATTTGCTAACTGTTTAAGCAATAGTTACAATTAGTTACACTGTCTACATTTAGACACTTATCATCATCTTTGTTGTTATCACAACATTTTGGCACTTGTGCCCTCTGACCATCATCAGGTATATATTGATCTGGATAACCTACGGTGAATTCCAAATTGAACCCTTTATTTAATTTACAAAGGTAGACTGTTCTTCCACTGCCCATGTCTAGGAATATCTCTCATTCTTATTTTTAGTACTGCTCAATTATTGCTTGCTTTGATTTCACTGAGTCCAAGTACACACTGCCCAACCCAGGGATTGAACTCACAATTACTGTCACCAAATTCATGAACCAATGCTTTAATCTAGCCTATTGAATTCCCTGTAACCTACAGGGAATCTGATCAATATACACCTGATGAAGGCCAGAGGACACAACAGCCGAAATGTTGTGATACCAATAACAAAAATGAGGACAATAGTCCAAATGTAGATAGTATAAATAACTCCTCATCCCAGAAATTCAGACAGCAATATTTTTAAACTTTTTATTGAAACAAAACAAGTATATACTCATGTAATGCGCGATCATGACATTTTCACTTGTAAAAAAATGATTTTATCATGTATCTCGTGTATCTTGCAAGTTCCTTTTTTGAGAGACTAAATTACAATAGACTAACCTCTTTTCCTCTATCTCTTTATCCTATCTTCTAGTTAAATAAGTTAAAAAAGTAAGAGAATGCTAAAAGTATCGTTAGTAACACTATACTCATTGCGGAAATGCATACAGCCATAAGCAACTGAACGAGAAACAGCTAAACATCTTATTAACGTAAACAATAGAAAAGATGCATATTCGCTATGTTTGTATTTTATAATACGATACTAATATGTAAATATTACATGCATTATTATTGGATACAGTTAAGTAAAACATCAGTTTTATCAAAATCATGTTTATTTTAAATATAGCTGTACTTTTTGACTACAGTAAATGGATATAGAGTTTGGTCAACGGTGTAGCCAGGGCCAGCAGTGCATACACTAATTTTACATTTTGTGTATGACGTGACCTCCTTAAAATTAGCTTCAAAAGTCACATGATACTCAACTATATACGGTATATTAATATAATATCAGTTTGAAGAAAGATTTTTTTTTCTTGTGCTGAGCAAGATTAAATAATGACTCATTCTTTACTGAAAGTATTTGTACAAAATAGCACTAAATTAATAAACAGTATTTAATATCCTATTTATAAGGCTATTTCGCACTTAATATTCTTTTTAGCTCATTCATTATCAAAATATAAAGTCTTTAGAAAAATAATTCATTACCAATAGGAAACTTGTACCCCAAAGGATTTGTGAATTTTAAGCAGATCTGTACAATATGCATTCACTGTAAAATGTTTGAATACTAGGATGACCTTGAAAGTAATGCCTTCTATTTTATTATGTTGACATACAACAGCAGAGGCAAATGTTCATGCTGGTGGTAAGGCAGTGGAAGTAGAACCTTCCCTCTACTAGTCCCTCTTTTTTTCCTTTCCTTATTACAGATGAGACTGGCAAAATAGCATCTGACATGAAAGTGTGTATGAAATATCACTGACTCCTTCCATGCAGAAAAATCATACTTATTGACATTCATCAACACTTTCTGAAATTTATGTTAACCAAACAGTGGATGTGAGTACTGTTAAGTGGTAGGCAATGCATTTCAGCAGTGGTGACAGCAGTATGTATGACAAGCCACATTCTATACAGCTGTCAACCTAGGAAATTGTTGGGAAAAAAATGCATAGCCAATGGTGGTGACTGTGGAAATAGGGTATTTTATTGGTGGAAACTTGTTCTATCCAATAGTGTTGTTGTACTCTCAGTATCTATTGTAGTTCTCATAGAAATAATTAGGAGGCATTATTTTGTTACATCCCTTGTATATTATAACTCTTCCTTGATTTTTTTTTTTTTTTTACTTGCTTTACAAATTATTACCATTTAATTATCAATGAAATAAAGGCCAGTCACTCAAAATGATTTAATATTCTGTTCTCTTTTATACCATTTGTCAAGTACTAATTTATTATGTAGTCTTTGGCAGTAAAAAAATTGTTGCTGAAAATATTTTAACCTGAAGAATCATGGCAACTCCTCTTTATCTTTTTGAATAAAAAAAGGATGGTTTAGCTATAATCTTAGATTTCTTAGTTGAACATATAACAATATAGCCAATTTCTGATCAGATTTATCACAAGTCATGCAACCAAGCATACTTTCTCTACCCAACAATAATAATGAGACTTGCTATTGTTTTTATTTAAAAAATTGTTATTAAAAATATCTTTTACCAAATAGCTTCATTTTTTTCAAGAAGATTTGCTTTTGTGAGATTTTTATTCAGATTTCCTAACTATAACCTGGAAAAGAAATTAATGCTGCCAAATACTTTAGAAATGTTTTTCTGTGATATAAACCAAACCAGAGAAAGATTAAAACAGCATTAGTGCACTGGCCATTATTTCACAAGGATGATTTCTAAAAACTTATTGTGATATTATCAATATTAATTTCTCACAGTTTATATGAGGAGTGGGGATGACAAAAAATTCTCAGCCTAACCTACTTCTAAATCTGACCAAATGTTTTATCTTTTGAAGGTCGTCATGGTTATGTTGAGAACTTTTCGAACCAACAATCATATCTTGATCTAGTTGTAGCTGTTCTGACCAAGATCTAATGAACGTCATATTGCTTTTGCTTTTTATCTCTACCAACCAGTCATCTAAAAGTTACGATAAAAAGGATTTCTTTAAACATAATGATAACACATTATCAAAATCCCCACACTTCTCTTACCTGAACAATCCTAAGTGTCGAATTCACTTAGAATGAGTCACAGCATGCCAACTGATGCTTTTCTTTTATTAATCTTGCTATGATCAATTCAAGAGAAAGACATTTAAGATATCGATACTCCAATTTATGATATTTTATACATTTTGAGATGGTTTCATTTTTTTTCTTTTTTTAACTATGTAATATATTTTATTATCTCCCTTGTTCTCTGTGTCTTTTGGCAAAAGTATGTGGTTCTCTTTAACCTGGAAGTTCAACCTAAAAACAAAAAAATGTTGCTTAGCATAATGAGGTTCATGTAGTTATTGATGTGTCAGTTCTATTGTTCTTGCTTTTATTGAATTATTCAAAGATTTTAGCTGCTTTTTTTTAACTTGTACCTCTCCTGCACTAAATTTGTATATATTTGCTTATCCTAAGCTTATATTCATCTGTATCATTAGATACAGTCCATAAACATCTTGTAAAATGCTTAACAGGTTTATTTTAAAGTATGTAAGATTCACTTAGTGTTACTGCTAGCCTTCTTAGAATTTGTACAAATAATCTTAGCATAGATTTCTACTGGGACAATATAGCTGAGAATGTGGGGGTAGGGAAATATTTTTTCTTTTTGCTTTACAATATTATAAAAGATCTTCAATTCACCAGAAATGCATTATGCAGTCAAGCAAAAGCAGATCCATTTTCAAAGTCTGCCTTTCTGAATGCCAATAGTGGCGGTGGCAGCAGCAGCTGCTTAACAAAATCAGCATTTGGTAAAAATGAATGATTCCTCTTCTTCCTCACATTCTCTTAACTAGCCTCAGAACAACATACTGCTTCCCTCTTCCCATTCTATGCTTGTTTTTCCCCTCTCTTTTTTTTTTTTTTTTTTTTTTAACTGATATTCAGAAAATGCAAATCTGATTCAGCTCCCACTGAAATAGACTCTTACCAGCAGGACAAGTGAATAGGAATTTGACTTTTATCACTTGTCAGTCATCCAGTTTTTAAGTACTTAGTCAACACTTTACAAAATAGATGAAAAGAATAAAATTAATTCCAAATAAACTCTAGTCAAATTTCAGACCATTTCCAGTTTATTTTCTTTTATTATTATTCAAATTTACTCTACTTATTTGAATTCTCTCTCATTATTGTTTTTAACCTTATCATATTTCATTAGTAAATTGTTCTGCATATCCAGTTTCATATTTACTGAGGGACACAGTACACAATTACCAGTTTTCTTGCATTTATAATAGTTTAGCACTTGCAAATTAGGATAGTGCAGTTATAGAATGCAAGGTCTTTTTTTTTCTTTACACTAAATTTTTGGTCTACTTGTAAAGATAAGTAGATCTTTTTTTTTCTTTTTTTTTTTTTTAAACTATTTTGAATTCTCATTTTTATTAACAGAAATATCAGTTTTGAAAGAAAAAGTGCAAATTTAAAACCTTTAAAAATCTATGCAAATCCAGACATCCTTTTTCTTGGTTTTTCTGTCA